CAAGACATATATACTACTATATATATATATATATATATATGTGTGTGTATATATATATATATATATATATATATATCCATATATATACATATATCCATATATATACATATACACATAAAATTACACATAACCATAAAAATACACAAACATATATATATATATATATATACGTATACGTATCAATTTCAAGCCTACGTCTACGTATACGCACTCATATCCATACACATACACGTACGCATACACGTGTACATAAACATGTACCTATAAATGTGCAACTACATATACATTAAAAGTACACATACATATACATATACATATACATATAAATATACATATATATCTACATATAGCTATACATATTCATATATGTATACTTAAACATATACATATGCATTTGCATATACATATACATATACTTGTACATATACATATACATATGTATATAAATATGCATACATATATATGCACATATACATATACATATAAATAAAGCAAAACATATACATATACATGTTAATATACAGATATATATATATATATATATAGATATATCCATATCCATATATACAAACAAATATTTAAACACAAGCAAATATATATAAATATACATATACATGTACATTAACACAAGCAAATATATATAAATATACACATATATGTACATATACATAAATATACATATACGTATAGATAAAAATATACACTTACAAATACATACACATATACGTGAAAATATACATATACATATAAATATACATATACATATTCATATACGTATACATTTACATGTACATATACATATGCATGTACATATACATATGCATGTACATATACATCATATACATATATAAATATATATGCATATGTATATGTATATATATATATATATATATATATACAAACAAATATTTAACTACAACCATGTATAAATTAAATATACAAATACATGTACATATACAAATACATATAAATTTATATATACGTATAGATAAAAATATACATATACAAATACATATACATAGAGGTATACATATACATATACATATACGTACACATATACATATACATATAAATATACATGTACATATACATATTCATATACGTTCACATTTACATGTACATATACATGTACATATACATATACATAGAAATATACATATACATATACATATACATATATATACATATTCATATACATATACATATACATATACATATATATATATATATATCGATACATACATACATATCCATATATATGTTTGTGTGTGTTTATGTTTCTGTGCTAAAGGTGTGTATAAAGATACCTCCAAATGACAGTTCGGTTGCGTGGGCGTCCTCCATATTTATTCGCCATCCCTGCATTGAGGAAACGGCATATGCAAAGTTTTCATCTTGTCCCTCATGTGTATCCTTCTCTGTAATCGGCTCGGAAAGTGTTTGTCCCATTTTTCTGAGCTCGGTGGGTTGTGTATGTATCGAAAAAGATGCTAAATAGCCTATTTGTAATCCTAAGAGATTTATGTACTGTCAATTTGAGGCGCGGATATGAGTGTGCATTTATATTTTACATATATAAATAGATGTGCATATTATTTGTTGTTTGTTTTTTCTTTTTGGGTTGTTTGGTTTTTTGTATAAAAAAAAGTACATATGTATGACAGTCTGTTGACTCACTTGGCTGAGACTCATGAGTCATACATCCAATGCTAGCCAAATGGATATCAAAACCATTCCACCACCACAACCAATTGTTGATGTGTTCATTTTTTAAAAAACCAAAAAACCCAAATGAAATATCTTGAAACCACCATAAATAGAGCCACCTACACACGCCACCTACGGATGTAGCCCCCTACATAGGCCACCGCGGTTAGTGCAACCTACACTTCCCACCTACGAATAATATATTTCTAACCAATCACTGGGTCCGAATTTTAAATTGGCACTGGTAGTGTCAGGTTGACACGTGACATCAACTATTGGTGCAACCTACATTTTCCACCTACGAACAATACATGTTCTAGCCAATCACTGGGTCCCGATTTTAAATCTATCATACGGGAATTCTGTTTAAAAAAAAACGAAATTTCGACGACCTCTCCTCAATGGCACAATCCACATATTAATATAACTCGGCTTTTTCAACTATGTTAACTGTGCATGACTCATCCTCCTGAGGGACCCTCCCACTGTCCCACGGTTAATAGCTGACTGAATGTCAAAAATAGACCCCACGGTTCCTTGAAACCGACTGAGTTGACTAGAAATTGACAGTTTGAATGGCTGCTTTAAAATGATTATTTATCGCAAGCTTCAGAGTTCAGTCCCTTGCCACCGCTCCCGCGGCATGGCGCCCCGGCAGGTTTATGTCATACCTGATTTAACTCATAGCCCTCTGGCTCTGAAATATAAATATACGTATGAAATGTAAACACAAATAAAGAAAAGGTTACATTTATATTTATATGTTTATCAAGTAATAATTCAACCGGAGAAAAACAAACTATACGCATGCACCCGTCTCCATAGCAACGTGGAATCTCCTCATCTACCCTACACGTGGACACGTGCACACGCACACCACTTCACAGCGGATACTATGGATTTAGTTGATGACGCTGAACATTGGATGCAATCAATGTATGCCATCTTAAAGGAGAGACGTTTGATTGATGTGCGCATGCCTGGCACACACCATTCGGATTCACACCCGTTTAAGGGACATATACCTATTGTGAGCTATATCGATCGGAAACTCAGCAAGTGTCAGGGGTGTAGTATAGAATTTCAGCTGAAGAATGGTATGATAAGTAAGCAGGAAGGTCATTTGTATATAAATTTGAATAGCGTAAAAAAGCATGAAAGAATAATGAAAGAATAAGACTTGTAGATGTATGTTATTATTATTTGTAGTATCCTGGACACAGATATATTTGATGACATTTAGATTATACTTGATGAACCTGGTACAGACCATTCAGATTTACACCCATTTTAAGCACATATACCCTTTGTGAGCTATATTGAAGGAATACACCTCTTGTGAGCTGTATTGAAGAAACTCGGCAAGTGATAGAGGTGTTGTAAACTCAGCACGACACCTCGGGTACTTGCTAAGTTAAAGCAAAGGTGGAATTTGTAGACTTAGATGATTCAGAATGTGTTAGGGATAATTTTCTGTATTAGCCTTTCGCCTATACACATATGTGATGGAATCAAAATCTACAGGTGGTGCTGATAGAGTGAGGGTGTGCACTTAAGCGTCTATATGCTGAGTCAGCTATATTGGGAGTGCCTGCACATAGATATACTACATGATATATATATATATACATATATATATATATATATATATATGTATATATATATATATATATATTGTATATATATATAATATTACATACATACATACATACATA